ATTTTTATAAGTATCAAACAATGTGAATTTGTTTTCTATAGGTATAGCGTTAATTTTATTAGACTACAATTTATACATTGTTTTATTAACTCCTTTTTACTGAGTTGAAGAGGTGTTCTGTGTTATTTCAAAACTTTTTTTTGTATTTTTCAAAAAAATTTCTTATTTATCTATGGATATTTACCCACCACCGAGTATTTCTTCCTATAATACTTCGCGTATTGACGATATTTGTGCGTCCCTGCGTCGATGCTCCGTGGAGGTGTCTGTGGAGACGTTATCGGAGTCTCAAAAGGATCTAGCTTTGCGCACACTCCATAATTATCTTTCTACGATGTATTCCTATTCCTGTCGAACTGATCCCCCTTTGGAGTCTGAGCATAAATTTAAACACCGATTGCCAGTGAATCAGCGCAAAGGTCATTTGGTTAATCCTGTCAAACCATCATCGCGTAAATCTTTTTCTAAAGTACCTTCCATAGGTAGAGTTGTCGATGTGCCTTCCAGAGAACGGTGTGGGAATGTTACTGGACATCAGTCTTTTTCTTCTGCCCCTCTACAGTGGGGTAAGTGCGCTAATCGTCTGTATCCTCCATCTTCTGGCGTAACAGGGCTTCCCGAGTGCCCGTATCTAAACCCCCAAAGAGCAAAAAGTTTTTCGACTTCTCAGGTAGAGAGGGGTAAATTCAAAGGTTCCGGGAGAGCTTTGTTGGATATACTTGAAGGATTCAAGTGTTTTTTGAAAGATGTGATCATTTTCTTTAGTGCCCCAAAACCAGTAGCAAGCAATAATATCAGATATGATAATGGGGAGATGAATCCAGGAGGAACAGAATGCGCAGACACTCCAAATTCTTCTTCAGAGGTATTCGTTTGTCGTACCTCTGCTATCCCTTTTTGTGAAACGTTCAGGGCACCGGTGATCTTGGGCCAAGATCGTCTCCAGGCTCCCAAGGGTGAAGTTAGCAGTGTAAAGCGGCGTCAAGCGAAAACTGGCATCAGGATGGCGGGCCACGATCTCCAGTCCCCACTACCTTCTTCCTCCATGCAACAAGGGCCGAGTTCCTCTGCTTCTTTTCAACCCAAGTGGGAGGGCGTTCTGAAGACGGGGCGAGTGCTCTGCGATTTTGTTCGTTACATCTTAGCTGGCGGGGCCGTTGTGTCATCAACCCAGTCAGCGCGTTCTCGTGCTGAGGGGGCTCCCGGTAATGCGTCAGAAAAGAACTTATCGTCCTCTTCAGAGGGCGTCAAGGCTACACCGTTGTCAGTGCTCGCTGAGCTACGTTGTGTGGCATACACGTACACCAAGGAGCGAATTCTGGATGGGATGCAAGCGTTTGCGCCCTCAGTATCCTCTACAGAATTGGATGAAACCACAATATGCCATGCTGCTTTGCCATGGTGGTTGTGGTCGTTTGCAGCGATGGGGCTACATGAGATAGAAACGGCCGGTGAAGGCACTACATCTGAAAGGCAGTGTTTATCATGCGTGTCTTTTGAACCGTTTGCGTTTCTAATAACCTGTACTGATCACCTCCTAGGACAATATGTTCGTGATCAGTTTCGAACGGAATCTGTCCCTGCTGTACAACATATTTCTTCTTTTTTTGATGTTGGTGTGCACCATGAATCCACGTCTAATAATTCCTTATTTCCACTATCATCCAATCAAGTGCCACGAGCTAGTTTTCCTGATTCAGCCTTTAACGTTGTGGTTACTGAAGGTTCTCCCAAAGAAGTAGGTATCGAACCTGAGATAGAGGTGAGTTGCGAGTGCAACCATGTCACCGGTATTCAAACCTCTTTTAAATGTGTGTCACCAATCGGAAGGAATGACTCTGATGGTGCGGATGTCGCTGGTAAGCTTTTGATACCCCCCAATTTATCTCGGAAGCATGGGGGAAACAGTTTGATAGATGGCTGCAAATCTTTATTTCCACCTAGTAATTCAGGAGATTCTATATGTACACAAGCGACAACTACAAATTGTATGCGCTCGGTTCAATTTACTCCAGGGGACACCACTGACGTTTCTTTAAACCCAACCAAACTTCTGGTCGAGGGAAGAGTAGGTAAACATGTTGCTTGTACTCTTACTACATCAAATAAATCTAACGGCTCTTTTAGCCATACATTTGGGTCCCATGAACCTTATAGTACGACCACTGGAAACTGTTCCCGGGATACGCTTTCTACATCGGAGCAGAACTTCCTTCTGCAGCAAAAATCCTCCTTTGAATTGATCTCTTTGTTCGCCAAGGCCAATTCTGAAAATGTTTCGGAGGATGATTGTGAAGGGGGCTCACTCTGTTTCTTTAATTCAACAATAGCAGAGGATGCGGTGAGCTCAGCTAATACAGCACTGAACCTTGCCACGAAACTGGGGGCGTTGTACACTACCCAGGATATGAATGCACTTTTGTCAATTATTTCTAATGCTAATACTTCCAAGCATGAGCATGAACAATTTATTACACGGGATGTTGAAACAGTGAACAAGTCTCCGAAGTCCCACATACCTTCCAGCAACTTACCCTACTCTGCCATGGAAGTACAGTTACCTATAATTATCGCCACCCCACCATCGAGATCATTTGGAGGCTCTCTCCACGACATTACAATGATCAATACACAATGTAAAGGTCTAGATTCTGATCTATCATTGCCTACAGGTATTTTTCAGGCAAAAAGGGTTCATCAAGTTTTCAGTGGTGTCCAGCCTGGACAGCTAGATGACTTTATGTGCGCCCTCTGTTCTATTCTTTGCTCACCTTCGATACTAGTACTGGATGCAAGAGTTTCGTTGGAAATGACCTTGTGCATCTCGCTGAGGCTTCTTAACTATATCTTCGCGTACCATTTTTCCCACCACCTAGCGGCATCTCTTTTTTTAGAACCATCATATCCACCACAACCGCCACAAAAATCTGCAGGTACACTCTCACCTTGCCCATTTTGTTTCTTGGAGACGACGTGGGTGTGCATAGTGAAATCTTTAATCGATTCATGTGCATGTGCGGCTTCTCAGGCATTATCCGACCGCCGGCAAGTACTGGCGCATGAACTTATCGACACCCTCTCCCTACTTGAAGTTCAGCGCTTCACCATCGCTTCTCTTCCCTTTTTGGGCATCCACAGCGAGGGGCTCACAGTTTGCAAAGGTAACGAGGATGATGGAAGCGGTGGCAACCCCGGTGTCCTGAACCCACAGAAATCTGTCAGAGTGCACGCGCAATCACATGCTGCTTTCCTGCGTGTGTGGCTCGTCGGTTTCAAGGACGTTTCTGAGACTTCTAAACACCTGTTAAAGTGTGGTTGTACCTCATCGAGGGCCTTTGAGACTACAGTTTGGTACTTAGCTGGACTAGCAGATTACTTGATTCAGGTAGAGCAATGCACGTGGAAGCTGCTGAAGGGATCCAAGAACTCATTTAATGATAATGTTTTCGATTCGCTACCTCTGATTCCGTTGCATACCACAGAGAATGCATTGTTTGAGGAAGTGCTTCCCCCAGATGAGTTTATTAGCACCATTGTCGAATTTATGGGCACATTAGCTGAACTATTTACTTGTAATATTCCAGGAGAAACTCAGAGTGTGGAAGATATGAACGGTTTGACTAATGGTTCTGAAGGCGCGGAAGACAGTGATGATGAAGAAATAGACTCTTCTCCAAGCTTCATCTACAGATCTGAACCCAAACATATCCCAAAGAGTCTAAAGGGCTTCCGAAGTGGACACTTCCACAAGGTTAAGCTGTGTATGCACTACTTTTTGGAGATTATTGACGTTCTACTCCGATGTTCAATAAATCTTCCAGAGAAACCTTTGTTCTTGTACGCACTTGTAGCAAGGTTATCGTGCTTCGCATCAGCGGAGGATGACGAGCTGAATGATTCTCCTGTTACGCAACAGCAACACAACGCAACGGTGTTTGAAACTCATCCTAGTGATCCTCTTGCTGTCGCTTGGCATCGTGCCTTATTGGGTGAGAACTCTGTCCTCAGTCAAATACACCACTTTGTCAGTAGCTACAGTTGTGCTATGGTTCAAAAGTTGCTGAAAAAAACTTTATTTCCCGCGGACATGGGGTTGAAGTTATTGCAAAACAAGTCTCAGATTGATGGGGTCACAGGTAGTCCAGCTGTTAGTGGAAATGAAGCCGTGTTCTTTCCCAAATATGAGCAATTGGACGTGAAAGCGCAGGATAAACATGATGCAGTATTATTTCCTCCAGGACTTTGTCCAAGCTCATTCGAGAATTTACAACTCATATCATACAACAACTCGTATAAGCGGATGCAGGACGCTGTTTCGACTATGTGTTGGCCCACGGAGTCGTTCAAGTACCATTGTCACGTACGACGTATCCTTGAACACGCTCAAATAGTTACCAACTTCCTGGCTAGTAGTTCAACAAAAGTATCGCAGAGCATTCTGGAAAACCGGGATGACAATAGCGCGGTATGTTCAAATGAAATAAGCCGAACGGATGAAATCGGACCTGTTCTGTTTGCCGGTGTTTCAAAGCTACTGGACATTAAGAGCAGTCCCTGTTCACAGGTTCTGTCCTCTCCTTATGGTGGGCCTTCCTCGAGTATTCTTCTGACTAGGGGAAGCTTTATTCAAGATCGTCCATCTTTGTTGTCTGGAGAAGTATCTGACCGCATACACCATACTTATTATACTTGCCTATCGATACATTCACTGAAAAGATGCCTCTCGGACACCTGCAACTGGCTGTGGCTGAGTACCTGTCTCATTGAGCTTCTCTCTTCTGCTGCCGTCCCGATAAACCTTATACAGGGCTCCAATCTCTCAGAAATTCAGCCGTTAAATAGATCTACTACATCAATCAAAGACTCGGGCGTCCAGGAGCCTTATCGGATTCTTGCCTTACTATTCCAGAATACATTTTCTGTTCTTCAAATTTCATCATTTTCAACCTACGTTCGTCTCTTATTTTTACGCATTGTGCATGTATTTTATTTCACTCCCCAGTATGGCACTGTGGATAATACTGATACCGAAGGTAACGGTTCCGTTCACTCACTACACCAGTACTCCTTTTATCAGCCCTTGTATGAGTATTGGCAGCGGTACTGTGAGTCATTATTGCGCGCTCTTCGCGTATTATGCAGTTACAATAGGAAAGCACATCATACAGCACATATGTTACACATTCCGTGTGTACTTACACGTCTTTTACTTAGCCTATCCAAAGAGAAATTTATAGATACACACAAAGCATTCTTCGGGGAGAAGACATTTTCATCATATCTAGGAGCTAGTCTGTCGGGGCAGGGTGCACACTCAGGCGTTGAGCCCAGATCTGGAAAAACTATGAGTAAAAGAGATACACTAACTGAGCTAGTGACTTTTAGCGGCCAAAGGGACAGGTGTGGGCCCAAGACTCAGGGGAGGAGAATGCGACCCGTGACCCAGGGAGAGCGCCAACAAAAAAACAGCAGAAGTGGCATGCACGTTAGCGCCAACAGGGATTTGATGTTTCCTTTCTCCTCCCCAGCGTGTACACTCGGTACGCGTCCATTAAATGGAAAGGACTTGGGTCTTTTAAGTCCATTTTCTACAAAAAGCACTCTACATGTCTGTAAATCATCAGTGTCGCTTTCCGAGAACAGTTCCTTGCTTGCCAATACGAGTGTTCTGGTGCCCAAACTACAACTTACTGATATGGCTGCGCCATCTTATTTCACTCCTTTGAGTGATACACAAGTCCTCATGGTACACACTGTTCCAAAAGCTTCGGCCCATTCTTATTGTGGGAAATCAAAAAAAAAAACGTTTGATAATGACAATAGTCTCGGGATACAGCATCCGCCGTCAAGAATAGCGAAGCCACTTCTAGCCAAGGACACGCATGCGCACACGCTGATAGATTCCGATCTCGGGTTTTTCTGTAGGGTCCCACTGTACCCCACTTTTAAAGTTCTAAAGCACAGCTCTGATTATCCCAGGCAATCTACAAAGAAGGATTCCACATGTGATAGGAGGGAATCCAGAGGAGGAGATTGTACAATTTCTGTGAGTAATGATAGCACCACTTTTCGGAGACCAATCATACCCCCTCTTTTCGATATAGCCACACATGTTGACCCAGCATCGACATTACTTAGTGGTGGAATTAGCTCTTCTAACAGAGCAGAGACTTTCTCATCCAAGAGATCCTTTTTAAACTATAATAGCGGGAGCGCTTCCCATATATTAAAGTCTCATGATTCTTCCCCTAACGGCTTTATCGATTCCACATTTTCGACCGCGGCGGGCATTACCCTTATGAGTTTCCCATCTATCGTGACAGAATTCATTTTGTGCATCAGTTCTTTAGTGTTGCAGCGTGAGAGTGGTTTCGTTAGATATGACTTTACCGTTTCTTCTATGCAGAACCGTTTACCGCTGAGCTACGCGATGATGCAACCAGAGAATCTTTACTGCTCAAGTTGTCCAATGGATACTGCTGTTCCTACAGAAGAATGGTATTCCAGGACTATCGCAGCCGCAATAAATATTTCTAAAGGATTGGATGGTCTTCACGTGCTAAGTGACCTGCAGTGTTACTTAGGGGGGCATTACCATGAGCCTGCAGTCCGTGGCGTTAATTCTTGGCTGGATAAGCAGTACGGCAAAATACTAGAACAATTATCAAAAGTTCAACTTTTATCAGGAGCTAAGCGTCGGTCCTTTTTCGGATCGTTAGAGCCGTGTGCAATGAGCAACGACAACGGACATGACAGCTACAATTATATGCTACTGCATCCGACGGACGCACTGTTAAAACCCTTTAACAGTGGACACTATACGCTGTTGCGGTTACTCTTACCACGGCGTGTTTGGCTTCGCAATTTTTTGATATGTCGTCGTATCGGCGCAGGTGGGTTTGGCTCGGTATACAGTGCTACCCCATTATTGCCGCGACTGAGTATCCTTAAAGGCTCGGGAGAGGAGTTATATACTCTTATAGATCGACAGGAGGCCGAGGTAGTTTGCCAATGCACGACTGGAAATATAGCTATTAAGCTCATTCCTGTCTCTTTTCGAGGTGGCAGAAGTGCTTCCCTGTCTCTGTGCCACTCCGAAGTTTTGGCGCTTCACCGACTGCGCGGCCACCCACACATCATCTCGCTATTGTCATATGGTTGCTCAGGTGAAGAATTCTTTATCATGACTCCAGAGTATACGGGAGGATCGCTTCAGTCTTGGCGTTTGACGCAGTATCCGGTTGGCTTCGATGCACTTAGAGGGGAAATTCACGCCACAGCCATTTTTTGTGCGGACAATGCCTCGCCACTACAAGAGTGTGCTCCATCTTCTCATATCCCGTCGTTCTTTTCGCAGTGCGCCAGCATCTTCACACAAGTGCTGACTGCAGTAGAGTTTACCCACCGCCACAACATTAGACATGGCGACCTCAAGGCAGGTAATGTCTTTATTGATGTGGAGCAGCGGTTCACTGTGGAAATTGGCGACTACGATGACCCCAATAATCACGGTGATGGTGCTCTAACAGGTGGAAATATGAGTCCTCAAAAGATATCAATGACTCAAGGGGGACAGACTTGCAGCTTTCCAACGGCAGTACGGCTGGGTGATTTCGGCTCTTGTGATAGCTGTAACGAGGAAGACATACATATCCTCCTTTGCGACGTGGCAGCAGGAGAAGCGCGGTTCATGGCATCTCGATGGGGGTGTGCAAAGGGCACAGAGGCGGTCCAACCACCGGAGGTTATGATCCCAAGACGGCGATATCAGATCTTTCGCGGGATTCTGAATAAATATTTTAGCCAGAGTTCTAGACAGAAAAGTGGTTCTGTTGATGACAAGTTTGATTACTTTTCCTTCTTTGAAGTACCTGGTGCGAGTACTACTTATAGTAGGGAACACTTTGAGGAGGTTGATTCGCTCAGAGTCCCCGAAACCTCCAGCAAACTCAAAGCTCTTTTAAAGTGCATGCAACGGGTCGAACTATCGGCTGATATATGGAGTTGTGGATGTCTTCTATACGAGCTTCTGACTGGTTGCATGCTTTTTGGAGGTACTCGTCTTGGTAATCTTGCAGTGTTAGCTAATGCCACTTCACACACAGCACACACTAATAACTTTAGCTGTCACGGTGATACAGCCGCTATCCACATGGTGTCTTCTTACCAATCTTCCACTACCTATTGTGAAGCATCGAAGAACTTAACTCATGATGCTGTATGCTCTTGCACACCACATGGATACGTGCTAGGCATGGCTCTTAATGAACAAGAGCAACACGACTTAACTAAGTCTGTAGATGGTGATGTCGTTGAGTTTCTATGTCAATTACTGAGTTTGGATCCGTTAGAGAGGCCAACCGCATCTGAGGCGTTGTATCGTTGGAAGAAATTTACCAGTAAAATGTGTCTTAACCTTGAATAGACGCCAACAACTTCTCAAATACCTTTTTCCTTTATAAACTCTTGGACTTTGACTTATTTATAATATTAATGATTTTGCAGGGTGCTATATAGGCGCCAGTGTTTTTCTATGTACCAAATAGGTGTCATTATTTTTTTAATTTCCACGCTACGTTTATTAATATTTGGTCTTCGCTACTTTAATTTCTTTGTTTATGGATTCACAAGAGCAGCTTGAACAAATTTTTATAACTGCTTATTACAACAACCAAAAAGAGGTTGGTACCAACAACCGTAATGTTCTATTATATGTGAGGGTTCAATCCATAACAGTGTGTAATTTGATCAAACTGTTAATAATTTAAACCGTGCGCTTATTGTTACTTTTATAATGTTATTTATAGTGTCAATTTTCGTGAAGTCTTATCACGGAAATACGTTAATTTGCATATTTAGATTGTATTTTCTCTATTTACATATATTCCTGAATTTTTATTTACAAGTGTATCAACATTATTATTCATGTTGTTACAATTTTATCTCTCATTGAAATAAAAAAAATATCTTTTAGAAAAACAATTAGTTCTTACACTCTTGAACGTATCCTCAGATTTATCCTCTTTTTTTTTCGAATCATATAACCTTTAGATTTAACCTGACAACTGTTTTCTTGTTCAGTGTGCGTCAATAGTCCAATTTATAAGATAAACATATTATAAACATGACACACATGAACTCAAAAAAAAAACTCAATATTGTTTGTGTCGGCGCTGGGTATGTTGGTGGGCCCACTATGGCTGTAATAGCGGACAAATGTCCATTTGCTACAGTACATGTGTTTGACATTTTAAAGCCTCGCATCGAGGCATGGAACTCTCCCAAACCGTCTTCACCGGACGAGCCTGATGGTCTACCCATCTTTGAGCCCGGACTATCTGATGTCATTTACAAAGTTCGCGGCAATAGCATGTTTTTTACGACTGACCCGAACGTGTTACAAAAAGCCGATATCATTTTTATTGCGGTCAATACACCAACTAAGGAAAGGGGTATTGGAATTGGGTGTGCTACGGATCTTTCATACTTTGAGAATTCCATCCGACTTGTTGGAAATATGGCTACTGAGGAACGAGACGTCATCATTGTAGAGAAGAGCACCGTCCCTGTACGGTCGGCAATCGCTGTTGAACAGATTCTTTCATCCTTCAATTCAAAGACACGGTTTAAAATTTTAAGCAACCCAGAGTTTTTGGCAGAGGGCACTGCTATTCAGGACTTGTTGAACCCAGATCGCATTTTGATAGGCGGCGCCGACCTCGATGCCGTTGCCACTCTTTCTTCGATCTACGAGTGCTGGGTGCCGAAGGAGCGCATAGTCACGACGAACCTATGGTCGAGCGAACTATCCAAATTAGCTGCGAACGCTTTTTTAGCACAGCGAATCTCTTCCATTAACTCGATCAGCGCAATTTGTGAGAAGACAAATGCCAATATCATGGAGATTAGCCGAGCTGTAGGCTCGGACAAGCGTATCGGGAACAATTTTTTGAACCCCTCCCCTGGCTTTGGTGGGTCCTGTTTCAAGAAAGACATACTGAGCTTGGTATACTTGTGTGAAAAGATGGGTCTTCACGAGGTGGCCGAGTACTGGAATCAAGTCATCGTGATAAATGAGTACCAGAAGGAAAGGGTTTTCCGGAAAGTGGTGGATATGTGCTTCAATACGGTGAACCGGAAAAACTTAGCAATTTATGGGTTCACTTTTAAGAAAAACACCGGCGACACACGCGAAAGCCCCGCTATTCATATTTGCTCCCGGCTCCTGGCAGAGGGCGCAATACTAAGAATTTACGATCCTAAGGTTTCTGAAAATGCCGTTTACTCGGAATTGGCAAACTATATTATTTCAACTAACGAGAATATCAATATACAGTATTTCTCAAATGACCATCAAAACAATGCATGCAAATTTGACCTTTATGACGGCAAATTGACTCAGTTTCTCAAGAAAAACATAAAGTTTATGCGCTCTGCTTTGGATGCGGCTCAAGATGCCTCTGCTATTCTTATTTTAACAGACTGGGATGAATTCAGGAGTTTAAACTATAAATTAATTTATGATGTTATGGATAAGCCCGCCATGGTGTTTAATGGTCACCCCACTTTGGATCTTAAAGACTTTGAGTGTATCGGTTTTAATACTTTTTCTCTCGGAGAGTATACACACAACCTTTTATTTAATTCCTCAAACGGATATCATGATGATGATAAAACAAAAAATAGGTAATACTTTATCGTCTCAAAAAATTAAACTTATGTCAAACTACTTAACTGAATATGTTTAATTTCAAGTTTGAATATTAAAATTCAAGTTTGTTTCAATTATTGCGTAGAAATGCGGCGCTAATAAATACTTTCTGAAAAAAAAGAGTTATTGAAGTCTTCAGTAAATTTATGAGAGATTTGGTATCTTATTTGATGCTTAAATAATACTAGTATATTTATCCATTTTATCTGTTAATATGACTCGTAATTTGTGTCTTTAGAACATATGGATTTACTTTTTATCTACAAAATTTGGAATCTTGAAGTGTAATGTCTAAGTTAATGTAGACGTCATTACTAGGAATGTTTGTGATATTATAAATTGACATTAGATTGGGGAAGTTTAAAATTGATTTTGCTATTTGAAATGAATTATTCAATAGTGATTATTATTTGGTTTATACAATCAACACCCCTCCAGGGTGAAATTAATCTCTTTTTTTTCTATTTAATTTTTAATATAAAAAGATAATATTATAAAAGATTATATAAATTAGAATTATTTCCTTCGAATTCCGATATTCAGGTTTTCGTCAAATATAATTTCATTAATATTAGTTGCCTTATTTAAAAATTATAGATGTCTATTATAATAATTATTAAAAATTGAAAAATAGAATAATACTTTGTTGCTGCTTTATTGAAGCTTCATTGATGAATATCCTTGTAAAATGTGCATAGCGTATTTACAACTATGATTTTGCATTATTCTTTTTCCTCAAAATTTTCAATAGAGTTTTAATGAGTATATTCACTTCAGCTGTGAGAAATACAGACTAGTATTATTATTGTTATGCGGCGGCCTTTAAATACTATCGATGTCCTAGATCGCACGCTTTTTTTATCATTTCCATCGCACCAGAGGCACCCATTTGTTTCCGCTTGGAATCTTTTTATACGCCGACCTTTAGTCTTCCGTGTTGGTAGGCTACCAAAAGCACCAATCGTAACTCTTCACCACTTTTGCATGCGTGTTTCCACACTGCACAAAGCTATGCACAATGAAGAGGATCAGTGTTTAACTTTATCGCCTGTGTTTGAGCATCAATTTAATCCAATATGGTTTACGAAAGGAAAGGACACCTTAGTTTCTCATGTTCACGACCTTGGAGAAAACTGTGCCTCCAAACTCTATTTTGGTGATACTGCCGATATAACTAAAAGTAAAAATGGTATAGAAAAAACAGGTAAAGACTATTCATTTAATGATGCTCTGTGTGTTTTAGAATCGAGGATAGGTAAAAAAAAAAAGCCTACTCAGAACAGTAGTATGACGGTCAATCGTCTGTTGGACCGACTTAATATGAGGCCTATTTTCAACAAAATGCGGTTCGTCCACATTGCAGGGACTAAGGGCAAAGGTACAACCGCGGCCTACACGTCTGCACTTTTACAGACGTATGGATTAAAGGTTGGCCTCTTTACATCGCCTCATCTGATAGATATCCGTGAACGTATTTTGGTTGACAACTTAATGTTTTCTCAACATACATTTGCTCGTTACGTTTTTGAGCTTCATGAACGACTTGAGGCTCTTAAGTATTCGGAACGTGATCTGGATAGAGATGATGCATCCAGCATCGGTTATTTTGCCTTTTTATTTTTGTTATCCTTGCACATCTTTGCTGCTGAGCATGTCGAGGTGGCCATCATGGAAGTTGGGATCGGTGGGCGCAAGGACACCACCAACATCATTCCTTCCGAAGTAACTCTTATTACGGCGATTGACTACGACCATATGGATCTTTTAGGAAATACCATTCAGTTGATTTCGCACGAGAAGGCCGGTATCATGAAACCTAACGTGGTATGCTTTGCGTCACCCCAGCAGGACCACCCTGAGGTGCGTTGTGAGCTGGAGGGTGTGGCCAAGGCCACTCAGGCGCCCTTCATGTTTCTGGACGACTCAGTTTTCCCCATAAAGAGCTGGCCGCGTCTGGCCGTTGGAGGTGATCATGCGATCGAAAACAGCAAGCTAGCCTTCATGGCGGCGCGACAAATCGCCGGGATACCACCTGTATTGCCTTTGGATGAGGTAGAGTGGACAGTTCTTCGCACGATGAAGTTCGCCGGACGCTCACACGTTATTCCCTTTGGTGATGACAACGATTGCGTATTTTATTTGGATGGGGCACACACGGTGGCGAGTCTTGAACACGCCACCAAGTGGTTTCTGGAAGTCAGTGCTACCCCTCCTGGCAATAGACTAATAGGCGAAGAAGGTGTGAGCAAGGAGCCTCGTCGAGTTTTGCTATTTTTTACCTTACGAGACCCAAACCGCATACTAAAAGCATTTATGCCATTTGTTTCTAAGTTTTGTAAAGCCGTTATTGCACAAGTGCCCGTCATGAAACCAGAGTCGCCAGACGTGGTCATTCGAATCGCCGAATTGACGGGTGTAAGTGATCCTAATCAGGATGACAACTCCATCCATTGGAATTCTTTATCGTATTTACGTGAAAGGCTTGTGACCACGACGGAGTGCTGGCGGGAGCTCTACCGAGAGGTACCTTGTTTACCATCTGCCCAGCCTTTCGGCACCATCGACGATATTCTTAATCTAGTTGTCCCAGCAGCTAGTGATAACGAAGATGCCTTGAAGCCTGCTCAGGTATTTGTGTGTGGATCACTCTACCTCGTAGGTAACGTTCTCCAACTGATAAAAAAACATATCACGGAGAAACATCACATGTAAAAAAAAAGTACATCCCTTCACACACACACAATTACAAGTTTTTTTTTTGTGTGCGTGATGGAGCTGAGGGGGAGGGAGCTTTGCATAAATAAATTCACTTTAGGCATATCCTTTTATCGTTCATTTTTTCCCCCTAACTTTTTTTATGGTTGTGGGAGCTTATTCGTTGTTCGTAACACCCTATATATTGAAAATAAGGCGGAACATCGCATATGCCTAGCGTATGTTATGCTCATCTAAACAAAAAAAGTTGCCATACGTCAATAATATATTTATCGAATCACTGAAACGTTTTGTTTGCTTTCATATTTTAAAAGAAAACTAGAAGAGTAGTATAATAATAATAATGAAAACCAGATAAATTAATTTATGCAGGAAGTATTTTATTAAACTTTTCAGTACTTTTATCTTTCAAGTTTCATTCATTTTTTTCTATCTAAAAAGTGAGGTTTCAGTGTTTTTACTCATCATGCGGTATATACCAACTACGCACAAGGCAGTTAGACAACTTCTGGAAACAAACATGTCATTGAATTCTCATGACCCCGATATAGAGTATCAAGATGAAAAGTGCGTTTTTCAGATTGAATCTGACACAATTGACAATTTTCTCCGCCCATATTTTGCTAACGAAGACCGTGTTTCTAAAGTGAAGTGCTGTCGGGCTTACTACACGGTTATTCTCCTTTATAGTGGAACTTTAATTCTTTTCTCGCCATTGGTACCAGTGTTGCATGGGAAAGTTTTATCAGATAAAGCAGACCCTGTTGTCGATGTTGCAGCTGGGGATTATCACATTGTGTTTTGCACGAAGTCGGGTTCGGTGTATTCTTGCGGATATAGTAATCGTTATGGACAGCTTGGAGACGGCTCGGTTTGGGATACCCTTCCAAATTTACAAGACTCTTCTGAACTCGACAAAAGTTGTCGAAGTTGCAGCATGCCACCCTTGTTATCATCCCCGCGCTATGTCCTTGGGTTCTATAATCCTATCTCCCCAGCGAAGGCGTTAGCTGAGATCCACAGCAAAGAAGGATTGGAGCTCATGAAAGGGTCTGAAAACGATAAGTGCAGCGCTTCCTCGGGCGTCGACCCCATCTTATTCACAACCGACCCGTCAGCGGTGTGTATTTGTGAAGTGTCGTGCGGCGCTGAGCACACCCTTTTGCTATCTGCGGCATTAAACGGGGTTTATAGTTGTGGTCGCGGTCATTGTGGGCAGCTTGGTCATAGGCAGTGCGCGATTCCCCTACAACCCGTGTTTCGGCTCATTCCTTTGAGCTTTGGTCTACCAATAAGGCAGATCCTTGGAGCCGGACACCACAGTTTTTTTCTAACTCGCACAGGTCGTTTATTCGGCTTTGGGGAAAATCAAGCCGGCCAGCTCGGCATTGGGTTAACGTCGAATGTGTTTACCCCAACACCGGTGAAATTTTTATCCTTGTCGAATAGTGAAGAATTAGTTTCTGAAGGCGGGAAGATAAATGCTACCGAAGAGGGCGTTCCATTTATGAATAAATCACCTTCAAAGGGTAAGACTCCTCTATTGTTGGATTCCCGAGCCTATACTACATTACATGCACCATATGCCTCTGTGGAAAGCATATACTACCCGCTTCGCACAAAGCGCCTAGAGGTGGAGCTCGAACCTGATAACCCTTTTATCGAGGCGATATGGGGCTGCTCAACCATCACCATTGTCCTGACAAAACAACTTGATTGGCTATCGTGCGGGCTTCCCATCTCGCGCTCCTGGGCCCATCAAGATAGAGGTAAGGGTGCAAACTCCAGGAGTGATCCTCACGGATTGTACGCGCCCCGTCATGACGGGTATGGGGCTCTGGGAAGGCCGATATTGCGTGTGGAAGACGCATGGCTTTTTGGTCGCATGTCCTGGAGCGTGGCGATAAGGTGGGCTATGCACACACTTATCGGTATGAACGCAGAAAACGCGACAACCCCTGCGTCGGAGCCCGTTGTAGCCTCTGTGAAAAGGGAAGGCTTGCTGATAAGCTATCCAGGGAGCGACATAAACATAGAATGCTTAAGCTATCCTCATCTAAGTCTCGTAAGGCTTAGACAGAGGCAAGTAGACCTTAACCGACCAGACGCAGAATCCAAACACACCCTGAAAAAAATGGACTCTTTAATTTTTATAGAAAGCAGTGTTTGCGATGCAACATTTGAGCGTATTATACCAATGAATTTTAAGCAAAATGAAAGTACTATTTTTAATTCGACGATGTCTATTAACCATTCTAATTATGTAGCACAACCGCTTTTAATGACTACACACTCGTTTTTAAAAAAAAAGAAGAAAGTGTAACGGATCAGAATGAATTTGCTAACAATATACCAAATCGTTTTGAGGATGTGATGTCGTTATCAATCTTAGAAAAAAATAACACTATTTTACCCTTGAAGGAATGTGTTGTCTTGATGTAGAGCATTTACCTTTTTGAATTTTAGGCACTAAAGACTCATTCGTCTTTCTTTGGCCTTTGTGAATTCTTTTCACCATCCCGAGACTCTTGGATAGGTGAACGTCCGCCGAGCACCGTACTAAATACGTGTATGTGAACGTAAATATGGATGATGGGAATCCGTTCGTTGGGGTGTTGGTTGTTTTATTGGTTCTCCCTCTTAGTTTCTCCAAAGCTTTTTCTCCAATTTGTAATAAATACAACTTTACACCTCCATACATAGTTTGCCTCTTATAGGTCTTAATATAATATCATTAACTGTCGATCCATATTCACTTCCACGTAGCAGAGTTTTATCGGTAGAAGAATGGTCTCCCCTTTGACTTCGTACCTCATTTGGTTGCTGTTATGCACTTTGTGCGTTTTGGGGTTAGGCCTTGACGTATCAGCCCACGAAATCAAAGATTTCGATAAAGTTTTGATTCACGTCCTTCATCGTCATGGTGCCCGCATGCCGGTTGATATACCAAACCAAACCAACTTTTGCGACGAAGCACCATGTGGTGAACTGACGAAGAACGGGGCGCGTATGCTGGAGGAGGCTGGGAAGTACCTCTCTAAAGAGTACACAAACGGTCCCAATCCGCTCTTTCCTATTTTGGCTAATCCTTCGAAATCTGACACTGATTACATTGAGTCAAAGCCGGAATACAACTTGCACGACGTGTACAGTCGCTCGGTTGATCTTAACCGCATGATCCAGAGTGCGGACTCCTTCTTGAAAGGTTTTTTTAAAAATACACCAGGTACCCCATGTACGCCGGCCATTCATACAGTTCCAATACCGATGGATACTGTTCTCGCGACTTTCCTACAGCCAAACTTGGGGTTCTACTACATGCACCACCCTGTTACCCTTTCGAATGCGGCAAACCCTACGACGGACACGCTGTTCCCTGACTGGAGAGACCTCCGTAAAATAGCGAAGCAGTTGGGTTTGAATAAAATCTGTGATAGTGAGGTAAACCGAACTGAGTGTGCATTTAGTTTGTTCGATATCGCGGCCTCCATGAACTCAAACGGCAAGATCAATCGCTACCCCCTCCTGGAAGCCAATTATGAGAAACTAAAACAGATTACCAGGGCGGTGTATCGTTTCGAATCTTACTTTGACTACGATGACGAGCAGCGCCGGCTGGAGGGGAGTCGTGGATACATATATTGGAAGCATGTTCTGAAGAGCATTTAAGATAAGATATCGGGTAAGATCAGCTTCAAGATGATACACTACTCTGCCTTCGACATAACCCTCGCGCCGGTTTCGGGATCTCTGCTTGATCGCAGCGATTTTGGCATGCTGCCACCTTATGGCCAAACCATTGTGGTGGAGCTGTTGAAGCTGAGAGACCCCCATGCGGCGATCGCACACGATGACGGAAAAGCTTCGCCGGGCTCTTTTGGCACTAATGCCAAGCTATCCAAAGCGAACTGCTTTGTGCGTGTGTTTCGAGGCAACCCGGGTCAGACGCCCGAAACGGATTTTGCTTTCAACCTCGACGCTAGCCTTCAACTGAAATGCATGAACACCAGCGGTGCCTTGTACAATGCTACGAACAACATTTGCCCCCTGGAGGACTTCGAGCGGATGCTGGAGAAGGGTGCCCCGACCGATCCGAAGGGATCCTGCTTGCTGGAAGAGGAGCTTGTGAAAGTCGTCAAGTGCCCCGAGAAGCCTGTGGCCGCGTCCAAGTTGGAAAAGGATTCTTCGCAGTCCGTAGCCGTACCACCAATCTGCGCGGAGTACCGTAAGCGATGCCCGAAGGTTGCCTGCATGAACAAGGAGGGGGTTGGTGGGATTCTCGACTTGAAGACACTCCTGTGTGTCGATAACCACGTTACACAGACAGAAAACAAACGAGTACTCAGCCAGACCCTGACGGTGATCGTACCTTTGATCCTTTTCGTGGTCGGGCTGGTGGTGGCAACGATTGTGGGAGTCAAGTGTATCAATATAAAGCGACCCAAGGACCATGAGGTGGGACATCCGTCATTATCTTACGCTTCTACAAGCATCATGAAATAGTTTAGCTAATACAGACAAACCATTATATATATTTAATTTTTTTATACTTTACTTTCGTTAGATTCTATCCACGACGGTTTTCAGTCAAAACCTAGTCAATAATAAATGTGTTTGTTAACTATATATATATATAAGTATCTATATGACAATATACCGAACTTTTAAGCGTTTGACCATTTACCACCCTACCACTTTTTTCTTAGTGATGCGGAAAATTTAGCGTTTTTTCATGGGGTACCCTACCCATACTATGTGTCTCTCCTTATGTCTAATCATACTTTGTTGCATTGAAAGAAGCAAGGGCAACTATGGGTATAAAAATAATGGAGTAATAGGTAATGACCCCTATTTAAAGAGCTGAAGGTTAGGTGCACCTGTGTTGAATTGGTCAGTTTTATCATATTGATTACCGACAGCAGCAATGCCAGGGAATAAGAATACAGGCTTCACCAAAAGTGACGAATCAGCTGCAACTGCACTTGGAAGGTGTGCTTACCCGTCGTAGAGACTTCTTTCTTCTTGCCCTTTTAGACATCGACATCTGTTTGTTGTGTAGGACTACGTGCTTGCGTTGATGAGAAGTGAGAGCCCAGGGAAGGATTATGAGCTATGAGTGCCGTTTGAGGCGAGGACACCCATGTATTTTTATCAGTTTGCAAGGTGGAATGGTGCGGGTGAAAGGTAGGTTACATTTGAGGTGTTTCGCCAAGGTATGTGTTTGTGTGCGCTTATTTTACTGCGATGACAAGTTGGCCAAGTGCGATTAAACGCCAAGGTGACACATCTCCATGAGGTGTATGAGAAAGGGTGGACCAGCCATCGGTAGTGTGCGATTTGCACTTCCAGGCTTCTCTCTGGGGGTGAATCGGCGTTTGGCCGCCTTCATTCGACCCCGCAAGGCCTTGACTTGTGTGGTGTGTGTGCATAAACGAGTGTGCATTTTGACAGGCTTGCGTAAAGTCAGTTGAAAACCGCTAGGAGAGTTGGATGCAATGAGTCTTAATTGGTTTCAAATAGATCAGGATGTCAGCGACTCATTCCTTGTAGACTGAACGTAGAGGATGAAGTTATGGGTGCCGGGTTTTGTTATCGTGTCCGAAGCGTTTTCAGACGAGGTGATGGTTTGTTTATTGAAACAGTTCCCTACCTAGAAGATGAGACTGACACTTTGAGATGGGCGATAAATTTCCTACCGCCGGAGGAATAGCTCTCGCTCTGAGTGTGGTTGTAGGACGACGAATGGTGGACGCACTCTGTATATGGAGGTCAGGAATAACGTGTCCCGCCATGGTGGTCAACCCACTTTATTTCGATTCCAAACCCAGAAAAGGTGGCTAACAACTTTGTGGTGTCTCTGAATTTGTTTGATTTGTGAAGCAGGTTTGTATTGTCCCCTTTTTTCCCACCCAGTTTCTTTTCGGATAAATTCAAAGGTATTCTTGCTAAACCGCCAACACTCAAAGCGATGTCTCTTCATATTTACATTTTTTTGTGCACCCTGCTTCTGGTGTCAACGTTCCTCAGCACCGCCAGTGCTAGGCCCCAAAGGCAATTGCATGTACAAGTGGTGCATAATCATGGAGTGCGGCTACCCATCACACCACATAACGAAACAAGTATCTGTGGTGAGGGGCACTCGAGCGGCGAGCTGAGTGATGACAAGTACGAAACGATCAAAGTCTTGGCAAATATGATCT